TTCAAACATTTAACAAATAATAGTTAAATGATTTTCCGCGTTTTTATATTGTTTCAGTAGAAAGAAATTTTCATTTTAATATTTTTAAATGCAATTATGCTATGTATTTACAAGTGATTTTAATAAAATAAAAATTGTAAAAAATGATAATAATAATAATAATAATTTATGATTCATAGTATTATTACACTATTATTGTAAAAAACTTAGATTAAATGCAATATTTAATTATTTAAATAGCATTTTTATTTTTACGTGTTTTATGACATTTTGGACATTTTTATATTATTTTTATTTATTTATATTTTATTTATAATTGTTTCATATATTATAATCTTTAATAATACTTAATTATAGTTTAATTTTCGTTTCTATTGAATTGGTCTGAAATTATCTACTCATAACTATTGTATTTAACACTTAAATATAATTATTAAAGATGTAATTTATTAAAGACTACACAAATTAAACAAAATTAATCAACAAATTAGAGAAATCTAGAATTATGTTATACAAAATGCGGCAAATAATTAAAAATTATATAAACTTTTTTAAATATTTATTTTTTGTTTTAACTAATAAACTGTTTTGTATTGAGATCACGATTTTAACATTGTTATTTTATTACAATATTATTACAAATTTTGCTTTTTATCACTTAAAAATTCATGTTTGATAAAATGAATTCAATTGCTTAAATTATGTTTTAAAATAAATACTGTATAAAGTACTGTATATATTTCTATAGTATATATTAAATTATAATTTATTTTATTAATATTTTCACATTTATACATAAGTTTTAATAAATAAGCATTAATTCTTTGGATATCTTTTAAGATAAAAATACTAATTTAGTGAAAGTATTAAAATTATAACAAAATAATATAATATTTTAAATATTATTATGTATTAATTTGTCTTTTCAATAAATTTTATCTAAAATATTTAATTCATGTAAATTTTAAGAGAGATAGATAGATAGATAGATAGATAGATAGATAGATAGATAGATAAAGAGAGAGAGAGAGAGAGAGAGAGAGAGAGAGAGAGAGAGAGAGAGTCAAATACGAGTCTCAAACCTTATATGACAACATAAATTGTAAAATACTTATACAATATTCATATCCATGGATTCGTCACAATACTTATTATAATGTTTTTTAAATGAAAACGTGATTTTCAAACTTTCTATTTTGTTTGTCTGTTTACACAAATATTATATATTTAAAATTTATTTTGTTTTTACAGGTACTTTGAAAGGTCTTACTTATACTAATTACATGGTCTGATACCAAACGTATTTCATATATATATATTGTATATATTTACTGTATTGATGCACACATAAGTTGATTTCATGCTTTAAATATAAAGATAATATTTTCCTGGAATTTAACGAATTTATTAAATATAATAGGATGTGATTAATAAAATTATTCAACAAATTAGAAATGCCATGAATTGTTAAAACTGACAAATAAAAAATTAATACTTTATTATCTATGTTTTAGTTTATATCAAATTCATAATATTTAGAAAAAACTAAACCATTGTATAAACTTTAATGGATTTCTATAAATAATGCCATTTATAAACTACAAATAGTTTGGCATCTTATTATGCAAATGAGTTATATATATTAGTTATCAGGGTTGCGAAAGGTTTTCGATCTCAGGGGGGGGGGTATAGGGGGGTGAACAATTTTTATTGCATTTTTAAACGACAATTTTTCCCAAATTTTTGAAATTGGGGCCCCCTAACTTTTTGACTTTAGGCCAGGGGGGTAAAACCTAAAAATCTCGAGCTCAGGGGGGTAAGATGGCCTTACCCCCATACCCCCCCTTTCGCAACCCTGATTAGTTATATATTAGTTATATATATTAAATATAATACATGTGTCCGATTGAGACAATACTCATATTATATGAATGTTTGACCGGTAATCAAATTAAAAGGTAATCTATTTAAAAAAAGATAAAGTGATCTACTATTAAAAATTTTAAAAAGTAAAAAATAATTTATTCAAAAACTCAAAAAAAATAATTTACATACTATTTAAATGTAATTTACTTAAATTTTATTTTAATTTTACTTTATAAAACTTAATATAATAGCTTACTATATATATATATACCAACTTAATATATTTAGTTAATAAAACGTCAATAAAATATATAATAATATTTATATATAAGTAACTTATACATAAGTATAAGTATATATATTATGTATTGTAAAATATAAATATAATTAAAACAATAATGAATATATTCATAAAAATAGATATAATTACAATTATTATCACAAAAATATAATTAAATGTTGTGTATCCGTTTCATCACAATTTAAATTCTAGTATAAATAAAACAGTTTTAAGTCAAATAGAAATTGCAATATTATTATTATTATTATACATTATTATTGTACATTTTAAGTAATCACATTTAATAAATTTAAAATAATAAACTAGAATTAAAAAATAATTATACTAGTTCATTGTATATAATAGTAATGTTTTAATTATATATTCAATGCAACCATGTAATGTAATAATATGATAAATACATGTAAGCATTAATAATATTTTATTATTTAATATAATTCTAAAATTAATAGATTTATATTATAAAATTAAAAAATGCAATAATTATTTACATTTATATAATAAGTTTTAATTTGGAATATATATATAATAAATACAGTAAAAATAACTTTAAATTAAATATTTTAATTGTCATTTATTTTTAAAAATTAACCATCTATTATAGACTATATAATGTATAGTATATATATTGTTATAATATTTTCACTCATTTAGTCTTTATTAATCTTATAAAATAAACTTGATTTTAAATACAAATTTTATTATTATAATTATTATTATATACAGTATACTGTATAATAAATATCTTATAAATATTTTTATTTATTTGTTATTTCATACTATTTTATTACAGTAAAAACCATGAAAACAAATCTAATAAAACAAATCAGTAAATTACAATCAAATAAAAAACATTATATAATAAAATAACTATAATATTCAATATTAATTATCTAAAAAAATATTTTTATCTAACAAATCATGTAAAAAATAATGTGTAAATACAAAAAGTTTCATTTATGAAGATTTGAATTATAATCCAATTTCAAATTAAAGGAATAAAAAATCAGGGTTGCGGAAGGTTTTCGATCTCGGGGGGGTATAGGGGGAGGTAAAATTGTAAAAATCTCGAAAAAGCTTGAGGGTATAGGGTGGGGTGAAAATTTTTTATTGCTTTTTAAACGACAATTTTTGCCAAATTTGAGTAAATTCCCAATAAATTCCTAATAAGTTTTCAATAAATTTCTTTAATATTGCCTATAAATTGCCTATAAATAACCAATAAATTCTACATAAATTCTCACATAAATTTCATAAAWATTCATTCAGTTAATTTTTTAAGATTCATAAAATATATTCTCAAACTAATAATATTATTTGTACAATATTAAAAAATGAAGTTTTACATAAAATATAAATATATTATATATAAGGTAAAAACTACTATAATTACTTCCTTTTACTATTTAATTATTTACAATGTTGCTATTTTAAAATTATCAATAATGTACTGTATTTATTATTACGTCTTAAAAAATTAAATTGTAATTTAGTTAAGTTAATTAGTAATTATTATAAAATCTGAAAAATACAAATCAAATTGTTTATTAATAAGCATAAACAATTATTATAAATTTATAAAATAAAAACATATCATTATATTTCTGAAAAAATGGAGGRCCTTACCCCCTACCCCCCCTTTCGCAACCCTGAAAAAATATAATTAATATTATAGATTGCTATTATAATCTTATATTTACTGACTTACAGTATATATTTTTATTAAAATACAAACAGTAAAAATAGGTGAACAGTCTTTAAATATTAATAAAATCATATTTTATTGATATATTTATATAAAACTATTTTATTAAATTAATTATTTTATCATATCATGAAAATAATGTAAGAATGACTTTAACTTTTAAAAATATATTTTTATTCATTATTAGAAAAAATTATGATTTAATTATTTATTAATTAATATATATATACATAATGAAGGAATAGATTTATAAACAGAAAATTAGGGCATAAAGTGTTTATTTTAGGTGTAATAATGTGAGTTATACTTAAAGATTGGGCTTATAATATACATTATAATATACATTATAACTTATACTGACTGTCACTCTCTACTATATAACTACTACAGTATATTAATTTGATAAAATCATATATTTATTCAGTATTACTTAATATGTGATATATTTTTTAGTTTTACTTTTTAGTTATAACTTTCTATATTTTAAGAAATATTAAATGATAAAAACAGTACTTTCATATAATGTTTTTTAAAAACTTTTAATGTTACTAATTCACGATAAATTATATATTTTTCTAAATATATTTATATGTGTAAACATAATTAATTATAATCATTTAAAATATGTTTAATTCAAAATATTTTTTAATAATATGGTATATACTGTAATATAACATAAATTGAAACATTTAGAAACAATTAAGAAAGTTTTAGACAACTATCTAATTTGCATTAATTTTATTATATTTTATAACCCATTTTGTCTAATAATATTGTTAAGTAAAAACAAATATTAATATTATATTTCTAATAATTTATTATAATATCATTGTTGGCCTCATTATAATACATCAAATCCTTAATTATGATTACATTTGTATTTTTGATAAATAGTTTGCCATCTATTGGTCTATAATAGTATGGATTCATTGTTTGTGTCACTATTTTTACGGCAAATATTCAGTGATTAATCAAACCATCAATTGTTGATTTATTTGATATTTTAGTTAATTAGTTGACATTTATTTTTATAAAATATTTATTGTATATTCATTTAAATGTTTTTTTAATGTTAATAATAATAATCTCATTAAATATTAATTTTGTTATAAAAATGTTTTTAAAGTCTTAATTATTTTGTTGATAAAACAGACAAATAGTGAAACAAATATTGAATGCAATGAATGTTGAGATTTGTTTGTGATTCAAGTGTTTGGGAAGTATTGGAAGTGATCGACAAGTGATGAGTGATTGGCGTAAAGCAGTCCGAACTCCCATATCATATACGGTGACCAACAATACATTACGATTGCAGTCACAGTTTGTAACCGTCGTATCGGTGGCCGGTGTTGTTGTCCTCTTCATATTGTACTCATTGGTGCCCAAGAGTCGGGTCACTTATAGTGACACCCGTCAATACGTGAACCTCGATGACGATCACGGACACGAACACGTGCATCAACACCGAGATTGCGGTCTTAAAGTGTCCTACAATGACACGTACCCGCTCTCCAAACCCGAATACTTGGCCAATGAAAAGATTCGCTACAGAATTGCAATTACAACCGATTTGGATACCGATTCACACATCGATAGTCATCAAAATTTATGGATTAGTTATCTATTGAAAGGATATCTCATATATTATCCAAATGAAGAAGTTGTTGAAATTAAATGGGATAAGAAGTCTATAAGCTTACGCTCCAGTCTGGCCTCTGAGGGCCGATCTATGGAGTTGTCGGAACTAATTGTATTTAATGGTAAACTATATTCATGTGATGATCGCACGGGTATTGTGTACCACATTCGCGACGATATTGCCATTCCATGGGTTATACTCAATGACGGCGACGGCAATACTGCACACAGTTTTAAATGTGAGTGGCTTTCAGTCAAAGACCAGACACTATATGTGGGCGGACTCGGCAAAGAATGGACGTCCACTTCGGGAGAAATCCTTAACTATAATCCTCAATGGATTAAAACAATATCAGTTACGGGTCAAGTGCATCACCACAACTGGAGACAACATTATCTGTCACTCATGTCTTCGTGTGGTATTAAATATCCCGGTTATGTCATTCATGAGTCTGCCTTCTGGAGTCATGTCCATCAAAAGTGGTTTTTCCTTCCCCGTAGAGTTTCGTCCACTAAATACAATGAAAAAGAGGACGAAAGAAAGGGATCTAATATTATGTTAATCTCTAATAACGACTTCACTGATGTTCAGATCAAAACTATTGGCGGTGTTTTGCCGACACACGGCTTCTCGTCGTTTAAATTCATTCCCAATACTAAAGACCGAGTGATTGTGGCGCTCAAGAGTGAAGAGGACAATGGTTTAGTGCGGACTTATATAATGGTGTTTACAATTGAAGGCAAGATCTTATTAACGGAACAATTGATAGGAAATTATAAATACGAAGGACTGGAATTCATTTGATAGGATTTTATGGTATATTTAGGACTAGTCGTCAATTAAAATGATAATACAATTTTTGTATACATTTTTCAACATTTTTATAATGCAATTAATTTATTAACAAAAAAATATTAAACAAATTATTGATTATTTTTCATCCAATTGTTTATTATCGGTTGTCAACTGTTTTAGACATTTCTTAGAGAATTCAATCAAATTATATTTACAATATTTATTGTAATCCTTTAATAATGAAAGACAACATATTTTGTTTAAAATCTCCAAATTGATGGTCAACTTGGGGTCTGTAAAGTCCGTCTTCCACTCCGGTCTGACCCGTTTGACAACAGCTACCACTTTGTCGATCATTTGTTGTCTTTTAACATCACTATTGTTTCTGACTTTGCACTGAACCATAAAAGTCAACAACTCTTTCGGTTCTTTTTCTAAATAATTTTCAACAATTTCATCAAAATTACTACAAATTGTCTTAAATGTAATCACAATTGGTATTAATCTAAGCAATTGTTTAGTTAATTGTTTGCCATTTGTTTCGATTTCTTTTAATATTTCCGATGTTATCACTAAAGGATCCACAGATTTGTCATTTGATTTAATAAACAAAACATTATTACATTTAGTTATCATTTGTTGGAAACGTTTCTTCTGTGTTGTCATCAAATTGACCTCATTTTTAATGGCTTTCTCGATGTCATTAACGTCTTGTTTGTTATCATTATTTAAGTCATCGGTGGTATTATCGGGACTATAGTTTCCGTAGACTTTATCTGCAAACTCATTGAACAGATTGTAAGACTCGTGAAGACAGCCGTATTCTTTGAAATTACAGGTAACCATAAATCCATTGACACCATCGCAAAGGTGTCCCGAAGAACCAGAAGAATACTTCGATTTCTTATTTGATTTATAATAGTTTTTCTTGCGTTTGCCGTTTGATTCACTCATCTTTACATTTATTGGATGTCTTGAAATAAACCACAAAATAAGTCTATGATATCATTTGGTTATAAATATCATATTATATATCATATAATATATTTCATTAGTTAATAAATTCATTCAAATAACTGTAAATAAAATTATTATTATTATTATTATTACGATAACAGCAAAACACGTGTTTGTTATGACATATACTGCAAACCAATATACAGTTTCTTAGAGTATTCACTCAAACGGTTTGGGTTTTCAAGTTTATCTCAAAATCCAAAACCGAAAACATTTTTTTGTATAATTTTCATTTGATTTTATTTCGGGTTTTTTCAATAATAATAAATTATATCTTATATAATGTCTTTGAAATACTAAAACTTTATAATGAGATGAATAATTTAAAAAATAAAACAAATTATAATTATAATTATAAATTATTATAGTTTGCAAAATGTAGTATTAATTAACAAATGAACACAATTTACGGTCAACTATGCAATGAATAGTCCCATTGACCCCACAATAGACTACTAAATAGTGTAGTATTTCTATTAAATATATTTTTAATATACAGTATTAATAGTATTAATACTATAGTGTTTGTATTGAATGTCAATTCTAAGTATTACTAAAGCAATAGTGTATTAAATATTACGTCGATTAACGTAATGCTTATGACTCAGAGTTTTGTTTTTGTCGACACATTATTCAAAGCATTCATTGATTGAACACAAGTGTCGAACCCTTAATAATAGACTCAATGAATGAATGAATGAATGAATTATTGAATGAGTTGTCAATTGTTGTCAATTGTTGTCAATTGTTGTCAATTGTTGTGATTCATAGTCTTAACTCATTTGACTGATTGTTATCTTGGGATCAATTGGTCCAGACTTTGCAAACAGCAATTGTGATTAATCTGCCACTTGAGCCAAATGTCTGGAGGTATAACCAAATGATTATCACTTTTAATGCAAATGTTGTCTATTGTGTGAATATATTGATTGAATTAATGCAAATATGTGTCCATTTTTTAGCTAAGCTACCGAAACGGCCGCCAAGATTAGGGCCAATCAATGATTCACCCCCTCCTCCTGTCACACCTCCCGATAACTTAGACAATAAGACTACAATTCATATTAATGACAAAGACATAGACATCGATCCTGAGATCAATATAGAGACTCTTCAAGAGTTAGGTCGCGGCGCTTACGGTATCGTTGAAAGGGTTCGCCACAAACCAACCGGTTTTGAAATGGCTGTCAAAGTAAATAAAGATTGAATTTCTCGTATTAAATATCATAACAAATATTATTATTTTTGCTTATTTTTATAGAGAATCAGTCAAAACATAGTTCAAGAACAGAGACGTCTGTTGATGGATATGAATGTTTTGGTCAACTCTGCCGGTTGTCCTAACATTGTGTTAGCTATTGATTGATTGATTGATTGGTTGTTAAATGCAATTACTTTTACTAAACATTGATGTCTTGATTGCAGTGAATTTTACGGCGCTATCTTTTCTGAAGGCGATCTTTGGCTGTTTATGGAGATAATGGACTCCTCTTTGGATAAATTTTATCGAAAGGCATACACAAGAGTTGACATCCCGACCAACGAGAACGCCATACCGGAGTCAATATTAGGAAAAATCGGGTCGTGTATAGTGAAAGCACTTCAATATCTGCACGGAATCAAAATTATCCACAGAGACGTAAAGCCATCAAATATTTTGATTAGTCGTAACGGATCAGTTAAGTTATGCGATTTCGGTATATCCGGACATTTAGTCAATTCGATTGCACAGACATTTGAAGCGGGATGTAAACCATATATGGCACCCGAAAGAATAAATCCAGACCCACAACGTCGGGGATATGATATCAGATCCGATGTTTGGAGTTTAGGTTTGTTTTCAATTATAATAAAATTGACATTTCATTGTTTTGCATTGATTTGTTGTGTGATTAGGTATTTCAATGTTAGAGTTAGCAATTGGCAAATATCCATTTCCTGAGTCTAAGAACCTCTTTGAACAATTGAAGCGTATTTGTCAAGACGATCCTCCAAGACTACCACCTAATAGGTTCTCCAAAGATTTCGAGAGTTTTATTGAACAATGGTATGTATGGAACTGATGGTTGGAATTATAATAAGTAATAAATATTACGATATATACAAATTGAATTGTTTTTTACAGTCTTCAACGAGATTATGAAATGAGACCCAATTATAACAAACTTATATTACACCCATTTATCACAGAAAATGAGACGAAAGATATATCGGAATTTGTAAGCAAAATATTGGACTCAACTTAATGTTAATTGAATTTTATTGTAATTTTATGGCATTCAACGCAAAGTTACAAATTGAGTGCCTTTTTTAACCAGTTATATGCAAAGTGTGTTATGTTTGACATTAAAGTCTATCATTATTCGCATTAATGATTAGATTTTGATTTTTGTTTTTTAATCATTAGTTTATTGAAAAACTTAAGTTTGCTTTTACTATACATATTTCATTATACAGTAAATCCATGTTTTATTCAAATTAGTTTCAAATCATGTTTAAATACAAAATAAAAATGTTAACCGAGTTTTTAAGTTTTAATTTGAATTTATTATACACTTATAGTTGTGAACAAATCGATACCATTAGATGCTGTGCTGATGATGAGTCCGGGTATTTGTTTGTGCCAATGAATTTCCTTAACTTCTTGTTGTCCCTGATGTATGAACAACAACTGTGGCGGCAATTGATTTAACTCTTGTTCTTGCGTTTCATTTTCATTATCTTTTTCTACCGCTAAATCCCAAAGTGTTAATTGATTGTCATCTCCTGAAGCGGCAAAAACTGTTCCATCAGTTGGATGCCATTCAACTGAAGTTATATGCGATAAATGGTGTTTGAATGATGCAATAGGTTTCGGTGATTTCGATTTGAAATGTCTTAAATCCCATATTTTAATGACTCCATCGTCACCTCCAGAAGCGATGAATGTCTTTTCAGTTTTATTCCAAGAAATAACATTGACATCTGAATCGTGTGCCTTATCAACAGTTAACATACAACTTGTTGAATGTTGTGCCCGAATATCCCAAATACGGATTGACTGATCCACAGAACACGAGGCCAAGACATTTGCTTCACTCGGAGACCATTGTATGTCTTCAACTGATTCTTTATGTCCAGGAAGTGGCTTTTGGTCAACAGCCCAAACACCACCTTCTTTTGGTTTCCAAATAAATATATTCTTACGACAGTCACCGGTAGCCAAAAATCCCGGTGTTAGTGAAGACCAATCAATACCATAACCTTCAACACGATGTCCATTAAAACTATAAATTGGTTTAATTGTAGTTTTGTTTTTCATATATTCATTAATGAGGAGCGAGTCGTCCACAGTGTTTAAAGCTTGTGTGAAATCCCAGAGATAAACAGTTCCCGACTCAGACCACGAACCACAAAGACATTTGCCATTAATTGTTGTACTACGGATCCGATTAACACAACCCCTGTGATCAATGGGAATGAAATCAAGCTGTGCTTCATCTTCGTCATCACTGTCATCACTATCTTCATCATCACTTTCCTCATTGTCTTTTTGTTTAATTTTATTTAAATTAGACATTTTAAGAACAAGTATTTTATTTCCTTCTTCTTTTCCCGATTGAGTTCCGGCCACTAAATAACAGGTCAGCGGATAATTATCAGAGCGTTCAGTACCGGAACCAATTGTGTCTTCAACGACATCAAAGCTAAGACATGGATATTCTGTTTGAGCCTTTCTGTACATAATATAAGCGCTTTCATCAAAATCCAGTTCTTCGTCAGCATTGATGGTCTTCGGGATATATGTCCGCCGAACCAACTGTTGTTGTCCATCACCTTCTATTGTCTCCATTTCCGAATCACTATCTCCTTCACTGTCACCATCACTGTCTATGTCTTCGTTTTGAAATTCATTAGCCATTTTCAATTGATAATAAAAACTAAACTTCAAATGAAATGTAAACCAAATCGTCGGTCACTTAAAGGTATTTAAAGCACGTGTTTGTCGTTATATTTACATTAGTTTCCATAGAAACCAAATATATTACATATTTTGTGTAAATAGACTTAACTATAAATAATAACTATTAATATATTTAATATTGAATTGAAATGCAATTCAAAGTGATATCACTTTTATATTAAACACATTGTTTTGTCACATATATGAAGACATGGATCAAGAGTCAGATAAGTTGATAACACTTAACCAACAGTTAAGACACAAGACATCAGAGATGGAGACAATGAACAAAACAATTGAAACACTAGTCAACGATAAAGAGATTCAAATGAAAGATATTAACCAATTGAGAGAAGAGCTGAAGCTATTGTCGGCTAAACTTTTATTACATGAAAATGTTGTCAATTGTGTGACCAATTCGGTCGCAACACAAACGGATCTGACATTAATTGATAGCCAACTAAATGTTTGTATCAATTGTCAGAAACCGATGAACTCAAGCAACGATTGGCGACAAAACTCGCAAAACAAGAATACAAAAATCAGTGATTTAGTCCGCGAGACAGCTCAGGAAGTCGTGGCCAACAATGACTATGTTTACGATGAAAAGTCTAAAACATATTACAGCCGCAGCACCGGATGGTATTACTATCCCGTACGACATATTTATAATTGTTGTCATCTTTTCATTAATTAATATATAATTTGTTAATCACTTTTAGGAGTCGTATCTCTTTTATGACCCGAACTCTGAAAACTATTATAAATACGATTCCGACAAAAAAGAGTATATTTTTTATTCTTCACTCAATCAGAAAAATGACAAAAAAGATGTTTTGAAAGCTCCCAAAGCAAAGGTTAGTTTGATTTTCAATATATTGAGTGATATTTCTTATTATATTAATATTTGTTTGTTATTAATAATAGAAAATTAAGAAAGATTTACAAACAGAAGATACAAAATTAGAAGTAATCTATGTTTCCTCTGAAGAAGAAGAAGGAGAAATATTAGACTCGGAAGACAGTTCTGATGACAATTCTGATGACAGTAATAATGGTAATGATAACTATTGTTTTTAAAAAATATTATTAATTACTATTATAATTACAGTTAAATTAAGTCCACCATTAGTTAGGATGATTGTGAAGCAGTCATCAACTTTAGATATCGGTAGTCTATTATTAGTTACTTGTATGGGCGCTAAAATTGGTAACGAAGCCAACTGTGATGTCTGGATCACTGATGAAACAGTCAGTCGGGTTAGTATTAAATTAAAATTAAATTAATTATCTGTATTATATTTTTATATTTATTTTGTTTGACTAGACTCACGCTGAGATTAAATATGATTACAAATTAAATAATTATATGATGAAAGATCTCAACAGTACTAACGGGACGTTTATTAATGGCGAGAAATTAGAGACAAATACAGAGATGATTGTTAAACATAGCGACGAAATAACATTTGGTGAATGTGTGTTATTAGTGCACATTCATTACGGCAAAGATGTGACCTGTGATCGATGCGAACCCGGCCTCGTAATGGCCAACTTGAAGTCAGATCAACAAAATAATTGCAACAATTACTATGAAGTGACCGATAAAGAGAAAGATCACAAAAAACAATTAAAATTACTTAAGAAGAAATACGGTCTTAAAAATGTTGACTATTGTGAACAAAAAGTATCAGTTATTGTAAACACTAATTATAAGGATAGGGCAGAAATGAGACGCATTGAGAAGGGAAGTGACAATCCTTACGAAAAGACAGCCGCCGGCACTTCACTCGATACGTATGTTTTCAACAAAAAAGCAATAATTTATATCTTTTTTTGTTTGCGATTACCGGTAATTATTTGTTTTATATATACTGTATATTGTTGTTATTTAGTGCGCTATCGAAATCCAATAAAGGTTTTCAAATGTTGCAAAAGATGGGTTGGAAGAGAGGAAAGGCACTCGGAAAGCATGAAAACGGCATAATTGAACCGGTATTTACCACTTTATGGCTTATATTTTATTGATATTATATTTCAATATTTATTCTTATGTTGATTTTATTTTTTTTTAAACAGGTTAATGTAATTACTAACAACAGTAATGGCCAATCATTACATAAAAATGATATTTGAGTTTATTAGCTAATTTTTACAAAGTTAATATTTATATATATATTAAAATAATTATTGTAAAATATTTTTTAAATAATAAATACCATTCATTAATATTAATTTATTTACTTTTTAATAATTATTTTTTTAAATAATAAAGAAATACTATTTACAGTAATGATAGTAAACTTGTGTTTAATGTTATTTCATTTATTTATTATAAAATAAAATACAATCAACTTTTMACTTTTATGACTTATAATTTATTAAATTAAAACAAACGATAATTTGAATAAATATTAAGATTAATGTTTCGACATTTCACATGAATTTGAAACAATTGCAACACATTTCGTGGAAAATAATAAAAAAGTAAATGAAAGGAGTCTACAAAATAAAGCTATTAATTATTATTAAAAACATCGAAAGAGAGGCACAAATATTATACATTAGTTTTGAGGGTATTCTTGTTATACCTTTATATCAATTTTTATATATAAATGAATTGATAGATAAATAGATAAAGAATTGCTTTTAATATACTGTACAATATATTTACAATACAATCAGTTATTTTATTAATAACTTTACAAATATTCAGAATTTTAAACCAAAGCCTCAATTGACTTGAAAAGTGATTTAAATTCTCATTAAAAGTAAAAATATCATATAATCGATATAAAGCAAAACAAAAGCAATAAATCATAAAAATAGTTAACATTTTTAAATATAGGATTCTAATAAATACTGTTCATTAAAATTTATATAATCACTGATTATATTGGGTAGTGGACATAAGTTTTTCGTTTTAATAATATGCAATTTAACTTTTCTTTAGAGTAGGAATTAGAATTGGAAAATTAACAATGTCACAAAATTACCTTAAAATATTTACATTTAAATGTTTTTTATTTTTAAATTTATCTTTATTAAAATGGTCAAAATATTGTTTTTGTATTTTTGATACTTTCTTGTTTATCAATTCGTAGAAACCATTCATAAAAATTTTAACATTTTTCTCAGATACAGCTTTAGATTAAACATAATTCAGATTTTTAAAGACTGCTATTACAACTATTATAAAATAAAAACAAATTGAAAACAAATTTTTTTTATAATATCTCAAATATATATAATGGTCAATAATAAATTTTATAGATTAATTATCAATTAAATAAACATACATTTATAAATATAGACATTTATAGTATTCAACAATAAACAAATCAATTTTTTATAATTGCAATATCCCGTTCAAAAATAACGTCAATTTAAGTACTATAAAAACGAAGAAACCTATGTCCACTACCCAATATTAAATATATAAAAATAAAATATTCTTATCGATTTTCTCTCCATATATAAATCATGGTAAATTATGTGAGTTTTTTACCACATGAAACTATAGATTGTTAATTTTAATTTACCCCTATTTTTATACATTTTAAAAGTTTTMCCACCCCTTGTATTTGGACGTCTCTAATCGTTCCAAACCCTTGGAATATGCTATCTATTTACTGATTACTGATAAAAATACTGTAAACGTTACAAATATGTCATTTATTGTTAAATACTGTTATAAGTAATAAACTAATTAATTACCGATAATAGTTATCTATTTAATAATAATACAGTTTTTAGTAGATTACTGTTAAGTATCTGTCATTACAGTTTAACATTCCCCCATTTTTGCTTTTCCCCACAAAAATGTGAGTTTTTACAGTATGAAAATGTTATTTTTCATATCTCCTTGTATTCATATGGCGATAAATGCAAGGAAATACGGTAACATTTTAATAAAAAACAATTAATACTCTTTTTTTAAAAAAAAAACAAAAAAATAAACGCTTTAATAATATATTTGAACTAATATTTAATATTAAAACTCTGACTTTTATCTAATAAAAATTTTAGACATTGCATTATACTGTACTGTATTACTGTTGGTTTCACTTATATACACCACAATAAACACTATTAGGATCTACTTATAAGTTATAACCTAAAATTAGCGAAACATTAAAAATTAATTTATATTTACTGATATATGTAATTATAAATTATAACAAATATTTGTATTCGTGGAAAATATATGTATTTAAACTGAAAAATAGTTTTGAATGAAAATATAAGAAATAACAATAATATTTACAATATTTGTTTTGTAGTTTTTGAAACTCTCATTAGTTTTTAATCCTTGAAGGCAAAGAAATTTAGCGAAAGTAATAGTTTTTGAGACAAACTATAGACAAAAAAAATAGGATTGAGTAAAGGCCTAAAAGCTATTTTTATTTATGTTTATATTTATTGTTTCTCTGAATAATATAATAATTTTAGAGACTTCACAATAATAACAGCCAAACAGGGACTGCCCTAATCACTGTGTAATTAACATTTTTCACTTATTTTCTAAGTAAAAGTGATGCCAATATTTGCTTAATAAATGGATATCTGTTTCATCAATATTCTTGTGGTTCACACATTTGGTTAAACTAAGTGAGTGAGTGAGTCGAGAGAGAGAGAGAGAGAGAGAGAGAGAGAGAGAGAGAGAGAGAGAGTTGAAAAAGTGATTGTTTTATAAGTAGATGTGTTTCTTTGCAATAGATATACAGTTTGGTTAGATATGATACACCTGTTTCAAGGTTGTAAAGGTTGTGCTCGTTTTCAAACTCTCTTTCTCTCTCTCTCTTTCTCTCTTCTCTCTCTCTCTCTTTCTATATATATATAAATATGTTCGCCACAACTTGCAATTGATTCGCTATAGTTATTGGCTCTCAAAATACAGACAAACTATTAGTGCAAAAGTTGGCTTAAAATCTTTTGTCAAATGCTTACGTGTTATACATTCACTGCCTCTTATTGTAAACTCCTATAAGAAAGTAAAATAAAAACTTTTGTCAAACTCTCTGCCAAAGAATCGTAAGCAAGAATTTATAAGATTCATAAAGTATTGAGAGCTTACACTCAACACAACATTTCAATATACTTTCGGTTAAAGTCGTGTCTCATCTATACAATGGGTCGTCATATGAGAGTCATTACCGTTTGGTACAGTCATGTTGGCGACACTCCGACTCGTTTTGCCATCACTACTAGGAATTCCTCATTTATTACTCAATTTACATTATTATTATTTTTGAGCAATTTTTATCATTTTGTTGATGGTATGTTTTATTTGGCTTATTAAGTAAATAATATATATAAATATATATATAACTTATTTTATTATAAAATGTAGTTTAATATAATATTAGTAAATATAATTATAAAGTTCTAATATAGAATTAGTATTTATGAAAGTTATGATAAAAACAAATTTTATATACAGTATATCATAAACTTATATTTATATATTACTAATTATAATAGAGGTACTGTAATACAAGTTTGAATAGTAAATTTATAAAATATATAACTTTAAATGTAATATAAATATTTTTTGTAAATATATTTACTATAATTATATATAACTAAACATAGATTATATAATAATAAATCACTTTTTATGCACTCTAAGTCTGACGTCAGTTTATAATACAAAATATTTTTTAAAATTCTTGAAATAAATACTAAAATCATATATTTTTGTTTCGATTAATACCGTCATATGTCTAGCAAAACATATTTTTAACTATTTGTAAAAACAATAGATTTTATTTGTTAGACATCAGCTATTTTAAGAAACATATTGTAGTAAACAGTGATTAGACAGCTATTAGAAGAGTCATTCATATTTTGAAAACTAGTACTAATTCATGGATAATATTATGGATAATAACTTTATTTAAATTTCTAAATCTTTTCCGCAGACAAATATAAGTCTAAAATAAACTCAAATTTTCTATAAATGTTTTGACACAATGACTTTGTCTTACATCATATTTAGCATACAATCCCATAGTCTGTGATCTATATAACAAAAATGCTATAAATTGAATCCCACGCTATTTTCATATATTTATATTCAGTCCATCATATTATTATAAATTTGTTTGTTTGCATAATATTAATATCTGATTTATTAAAAATAGTTAAGTTTTTCATTATCATATTAATTTAAAAATAAATAATATATAAATTAACGTATATTTTGACACAAATTGAGTTTTAATAAACTAATTATAAATAGTTGCTTCAAATATATATAAATTATCTTAATTTTTTAAAATTAAGATAATGTTAATCAAATAGATGTAATAATTCCAAATTTATAAACAGTTATACAATTCTTGGGAAAAAACAATTGTCAAACAAATTATAATTTTTTAAGACTTTTCAATACACTGTCTTTTGTCTCAATCTTTATCTACTTCAAGGTCTGTGAGCTTCCCATTTGATTATTACTTAACTTTAATGCAATGTATATGTAATTTACTACAATTAGATCAAGTATTTGTTTTATTTTATTAATTAAACTAAAAATATGTGAAGTTATTATATAATTGTTATAAAATATTTAAACTTTAAATTTTAAAGCATTATATTTAAAAGTTTATTAACTATAGCTACTGTATTATAGTTTGTATTATGCATGACTATTAATTGAATGATTGGATCAGTTATAGTGACTATGACCTTAAGGCAAAATTGTTTGAGCAGTGGTGTCACGGTCATGGTCATGCTCATGGTCACTTTGTCTAACAATAGTTATTGTGGTCACTATATGGTCATTCATGATGTCATTATTAGGGACTGACTGACTCTTTTTTTTTTGTCCATTGAGACAGACCAGACCCAGACATCGTAATGTTTGTGCCATTTGTGAAACTATAAACTAAGTTAACTCTAAATGAGTGAACAGTTAGCCAAAGTCCGGATGTCTGTTGAACCTTAACTGTAAGTTCTGTAACAAACTGTTTATATTGTACTTTGGTTTCTATTATATCATTTTCTTCAAAAAGTTTAGAAATTGAAATCTTTTTTTCTATTTCCAGTATAATGTTTGTGTCAAGATTTGGATTTTTATTATAATAATAAAAGCTTAACAATTTAGAGTAAAACCAATACATAAATCTTAGTCTTACCCAATGGGTGTGTGAATGTAAGCCCTTTAGTTGTATTGACAGTGTGTAAGGGCATAGATATTGACTGACAGTGACATATGATATATACCTGAGTTTCAAACAATGAATATTTATATCCTCCCACTACTTGTAAATCAGTATATTTTATTATTTCATTCATTACATTATATTAATATAATATTAGCATATACGTTATGATATATGTACAATATATCACTATTTATACTGTACATATATTTTAATTTAAAATAATATACGTATTTTTAAAAAAATCATAATTTTTTTATTGTTTTTATTGCACCTAATTTATAACTAGAAATACGTTCACAAAATTGTTATTTTTTTGATAATCTTATAGCTGGTATGTGTTGGAGTTCGCCCAAAAACGGTCGGTGCACTGAATTGCTTAAGACGGGAGTCACTGAAGATGAATGTTGTAATGGTGTGGACAGTCATAATTCAGGTATCGGTGCTACCGCTTACAGTGCTGAGGACCTCAAAGGTGGACAGTTATTTTATTATCGAGCTTTGAGAGGTGGCGTTCCCTGTAACTCATGTAAAGGTAAGTTTTATCAATAACTAAACTTTTATTATTTTTAAGAACTTTTATCAAAATCTCCAAAAATATACAATATATAAAACTTAATAATAATATAAATTACTCTAATTATACTATCTATACTTATCTAATAAAACTTCTATTTTTTATGTACAATAAATTTAAAATATCATAATTATTAATTAGTATAATAACACTTTGTTGTTTTTTTTATTATTTTTAACAATTTTTGTAAAATACATTATAAAAATGCAAATAGTGGTCATTGAAAATGTTGTGATATTTTATAGAAAATTTAAGTTTAATAAAATTATTTATATTTGAGACAACTGTATATTTATAATGGTTTACACATTTTAACTATTAATAACCTCAATATATTAAATATACAGTAATTAGCTATTAATTAATATGAATTAAATTTAATACAATGATAGCCTCATGTGATGGTATTGAATGTAAAGCCGGCAGAAAGTGTGTGGTTAACAGAGATGGTCAGCCCGAGTGTGTTTGCGCTCCCAAATGCTCGCGACGTAAGAGGAAAATGGGTCCGGTTTGTGGTCAGTTGACTATTTATTATATATAAAATAAAATTTTATATTAAAATTTTGATGCATTTGAAGGAAGTGATGGCCAAACATATCGTCACATTTGTCGTCTATTAAAACGTAAATGTCGTAAGGATTCTACTCTTACCGTTGAATACTATGGTAATTGTGAGGGTATGTCTTCATATTGTATGATATAAATTATATAATATGTGTCACACATTAAATACAATTTTATTTGAAAAATTTAATCTTTGGTTATATTGATATTTTGCATTATTTTTTTGTCTAATATTGCAAAAAACTTACAATTTTTAAATAGACAGGAATCTTGTTTGTCGTCTATTTAAAAATATCATAATATTATATAAATATATAGACAAGCAGTTGATTACATGTATAATACGTGAATGATTGAAGCAATATATGATTTGACTACAATTTTTAATTTCATTTTTAATATTTAAGAAATTTTATTATTTATATTTTTGTTTTTAATATCTCAAAATTATATTATAATATTTAAAAAATAAATGGTTAAAATATGCTTTGATTTAAGAATTAAAAAAGTTTTTATCCAAAAAATTTTAATAATTTTATGTTATTTATATACTTTTGATTTGAAGAGTCATGCGATAGGGTTGGTTGTAGTGAAAACAAGACGTGTATAATAGACCAAAATTTGAGACCTCATTGTGTAAGGTGTAGACATTACTGTCCACCTATCAGTGCCAATACACGTCCAGTTTGTGGTATCGATAACATTACATATAGTAGTTATTGTCATTTGCAAACACAGGCCTGTCTATCGGGTAGAGCCATACAAGTGGCTTATAGAGGACATTGCAAACGTATGTATCATTTGCATGGATCACAAATTATTATTTTAATTATAAATTGTGATATTTTATTATATTATTTAAGTAGTACTGTAGAAACTAATTGTGTTTATTATTAAATAATAAATATTGTTATGTTAAATGTATTATTATTATAAATAATTAATTTAGTGTATTATTATTGAATTTTTATTGAGATGTTTGAACCCCTGAAAGAACACTTCATTGCATTTGAATGAATGACTAGTTTTTATAGAAATGACTAAATCATTGATTTATCGTTAGTTTTGTTACTTTTTTATCAATTCATATATTGCATGACTTATGTAACAAAAATAACAAAACATTTTTGTTGATATTATAGATTAGTATTGAATGAATGTTGACTGACTTGTAAGGAGTAAAATAAAAATAAAAATTTATACAGACTATAGACATGTGATACATAATGTTGATTATGTGAATAACTATGAATTTCAATACAATATGATTGATCTGATATATGGAGCCAAATACAGGACAAACATTTATAATATGTATTGGAATGAGAGGTATAATGGGATCAAACATAAGACACCTATTATTATCATTAATAATACTATAGTAAAGTTACATCTTATGTAAAAATCGACATATAATACAAAAAACATGTTAACATAATCTAAACCTTGTTTCTCAACTCAGCTCAAGGCTAATCACATACATACCTGAGCGCACCACAAAATACTCTGTATATACAGTAGTATACTCAAGCGTTACAAATATGTTATATTATTTATTGTCTCATTAGGCGTAATGACAATTTAGCAATTGATGAAAAATAATAATTTTATTCTCGTATAACTTGTGAACCCCACAAATTACTTTAAATTATATCTAAACACTCATTTTAATGGCATATATAGCAAATGTTGATTTCCATCACTAGTAACAAACATATCAACTAAAAAGTAAATTTCCATATTATTATCAAAAACTTATTTTTTTAAAAATTAATAACAGTGTGTCAAATAAAACTTATAATTAAAAAAACAACCTTAAAGATAATTTTAATATCATTTTATAAATAGCAATCAAATCAAAGCATATACAATATTTTAATGTTAATTATTAATACAATTTGCCAAATATATCATTTTTGATAACCTTATATTTTATTTCATATATTAATATTGCATTAAATCATATATTTTATAAATAAATCTACACTATATCTACTATACATTTATTATCAGTGGTTATTAACAAAAATTGATATTTTAAGATTTAATATATTAAATTTCAACACATTTTCAATGTTCAGAGATCTTTTACAAATTTTAATTATTTTTAAGTAATTTAGTTTATAAAATATACTTTTAAATAATAAAACACTTTAATATATATATATATTTATATTATATATATATATATATATATATATATATATATATATATATATATATATATATATGTATATTTAATTATTATATAGGATAATGTAAAATTTTGAGATTTTATAGTAACAAAAATGTGTTTAATATAATGTAATATAAAAAGATATTCAAAATAATTGCAGTCAAAGAGGTACAGTAATTTATATTTGCCTACAAATATATTCAATTGTAAATATGTTTAGCACACTAGACATATATTTTGAGTAATAATTATTTTTATTGAACATATTATTATTAAAGATACATATATAGATAGTTATAACATTTTATCAAATTATATAATGGGGGAAAAATGAATAAAATTAATTGATATAAATTATGCAGTTATTATATTTTGAATGTCATCAATGACAATGAATACCAACTAGAAGTACAGTACATAGTGTTATAAATTTATAAAATTGAAGGACAGACATATTTGAAAGGCATGCAAAAAAGCTCCGGTATTTTACTATTAAATAAACGTTATATACTATACTATTTAATGTCTGTTTGTCTGGTTTTATAAATAAGTCATTCCATATAAAGTATATGTCTAGTCTGTATTCATAAAAATTATATTTACATTACTATATATTTTTTATCATTCACTAAACTTTGATGACTTTCTTGATTTTTCTTTTGTATTTTTTTAAATAAACATTTATATCTATTATTGATTTATTTCTATAATTATTTACTTATTAAAAAGATTTTAATAAAATTTCAGGTGAAGCTAACTGTCAGTCTATCACTTGTAGTCAAAATAAAAAGTGTTTGACTGATAGAGTCAACGGTGGAGGGGCCAGATGTGTGACCTGTCCTATGGGTTGTCCCAAACATTTGGCTATCAATCAGGACTTAATGACTAATAAAATGATATGCGCTTCAAATAATATGACTTATTTGAACTGGTGTTCAATGATGAAAGAGGGTTGTAATACAGGCAATTACTTATACGTGGTGTCCAGTGGACCCTGTCCTCAATATGATGGTAATCATTTAAAATTACTTAATATAGTTTCAATATAAAATCATACAAACATCTATATTATACATATATTATATTAAAACAATGTATAGTTCAATGTTAAAATTAATTATCTATAAATTTTTTAATAACTAATCGCTGAATGCAGGTGTAAGGTAGTTGTAGTACACTTACACTTGACAAACATAATACAGTATTTCCAATATTAGTACGGTTTTCCTCTATATTAGTCTTTTAAGGTTTACAATAGTTCAAACACACACACACACACACACACACACACACACACACACACACACACACACACACACACACACACACACACACACACACTAGACACAAATAGCACCATACCGTGTATACCGACGTCTTATACGTCTAGTTATTGTGTGTTAGCATTCATGAGCCAAACCTAAAATGCTATTTACAGTACACGTCCTAAACAATTGAAAGCTCTTTCCTTTTTTACCTAATCTCTAAACTCAGTCAATGGTTGTGATCCTAAAGGCGAACAATTGACAGGTCTAACAGTTATACTGTTGATAGTCTCGGCAAATACTAGACGCCCGTCCCATACAAATGAAATGTTTGACACACCTTAGTCTGTATACTGTTGGACACAAATTCACTTTTATTAATAATTCCAACTTTTTATGTCTTATTCATTATTTTTTACAGACTTATATATAATATATAAAAACATATTAATAGTTTTCATTTCTTTGATTACACTTTTAACAACTTTAGTACTTATTTATTGATATAAATAATATTAATAAATCATTTTGTATTATGATTTTTTTAATTAGGACTCACGGTTAATATGATAGACGATCCCAACAAGTTTTTTAAGAAAGCCATCGTCAAGATTAACAAATACGACAAATTTGATGCCAAAAGATGAATAACCATTAAGTGATTAATATAATGACAACCGAGTTATTGATATTTTTATAAATGTATTTTATATTTATTTTAATTATAAACCGGCAATAATACAATCATAGGTGATAACACATTTATCGTGTTTGCAAAACAGTACAATTATTTGCTATTCATTTAGATCAAAGATAAATCAAATTATTTAATATTAATAATTTAAATACATTTGGAAATAATTTATAATTTAACTAAAAAAGTATTATAATTAGTTTTAATTAATTATACATATAAAGCATTCACAAGTTTACACTATTAAATATCAGAATATTCTATATAATTCTAAAATATATAAACTTATGTTTATTTATTATTTAGAAAATATTAAATACATCTTTGATAATTTAGTTATGTAATTAAATATTTCCTATTTAACTCAATTTTTAGTATAATATATCATATCATATAATGTATAAGGATTATATACACAATAAACTTGATAAAGAAATATATTTGAATATCACTATTTATAGAATATTACACATTTATTTATTATTAAATATTAATTAATATATTTAGATTTGACAAACTCATAGATAATGGTAGAGTGTTTGCTTTTTTGGGAAAAAATTAATTAAATATCGATCTATAAATTAAAATTAATTAATAAGTTAATTAAAAATATAAATTTAATTAAATTTAAGATATAAAATAAAACCACATAATTACATATGATATTGATTTATATAAAAAAGTTAGTTAATAATTATATATTTACTATTAGTATTTGCTGTAATTTTATATGTAGCCAAACAAAGGTATTTAATACCTTATAAATTATAAAATTAAATAAAAAATTATTTTTAAATTATAAAAGTTATTAAAAATTGTTAAAAGTCAAAACACTCTTTTATTTATATCTATTTTTTATTTATTTGATTATTATAATTATAGCACAACACATATCTTTGTAAAAATTACAATTAATAAATACATTTTTAATAAAATTTCATTTTCAAAATGTCAATAAAATATTATTTAAAAATCTAATGTTTTAATAATAATTATTTTGCAGCATTAAAATTTATTTTAAATATAAATATAAGATTATATACTGAATTCGTATGCAAATATATTTAATGTAATATTATGCTTCATATTATCATCAATGCGTTTAAAACTGGTTTTTATATTTATTTTATTATTACATTTTATTACTTGTCTACCATGAGTTTTGAACAAAAAATATAAATATAATAAATTCAAATATAGTTTATTSAAAAATAAAGTCAAAAACTACCAATAAGTTGTATTACAAATTATACTTTAAAGGTATTTTTAAACGTTTATTTATATTTAATCATTTAAGATTTACAAATTAAATGGTTACCTGTTTATATAGTTAATAATAATTATTGTAATGCTGTGTATTGAATACATATAAATAAACATTATATGAGAATTTACTATTTAAACATTTATAAATTATAAACATGCAATTTCTAATTTGTAAATACTTTTATAATGCAAATAAATACATACATATTCTATATATGCTCACAATTCAGTCTATATTACTCTATAACAACAAGACTTACTTTTTTTGTTTAACTACAAAAATAATAAAATAATGATAAAGTAATTGACATAAAAATAAACAAAAGTAGACTTATTTAGCATAAAACTCTTCAAATAGCAGACAATTACCGTATAATCGATCGATCAGTTGATGTCATGAAATGTATTTACAGTATATTATAAGCAATTTTTTGTCTGCTGTTTGTCTGCCTTTTAAAAAATTTATTAAACTCTCTCTCTCTCTCTCTCTCTCTCTCTCTCATTGAACATAATTTTTAAATCTTATGAGACTATCGTTTATATTTTGACGTAAAAACACTTTTGTTATATTTTATTTAAAAAATATAATTATAAGTTAAACTAAAATTGAATAATAATTCAAATTAATCATTGAATAATTTTATTCAACTCATCCAAAAATGAAAAAACGAGACACAAATATTTAAAACTTTTATATAATAAATTATTGTATGCATAATAATAATAAAAAGATGCATTTTATTTCCAATCAATAACAATAATAAATATTAATATAATATATAACTTAAATTTTGTTTTTTTTATTCTTATATTATATTTAATAGTTATGTCTAACAATTAACTAATAATACAAATATTTTTATTAATTTCAAGACTTTTGTAACTTAATGTAATGACAAATTTGTTACAATAAATGAATTTACAAAAAATATATAAACTTAATACTAAATTTTTATTGATAAAAAATTGCTTATGTTTGCAAATGGTATTTTATGAACGATTTATAACAAATACTATGAAATCTAGTTTTAAAAAATATTAATAGATTTTTACTCTACTTTATAATTCATGTAAATTAAACGGTTATACATTTGTTATAATAGTTAATATAAAAATTAGTTTAATTATGAATTACTAAGTATTTAAAATTAAATTTTAATTATAATAAAATAAATTATGTTAAATTAATTTTTATTAGATTTTAGTTATTTCTTTTCTAAGCATTTCTAATGTATTTTTATACATTAATTATTTCTGCAATAAATACTAAGTTATTAGAGTATACGATATATTAATACATTAGTTAAAACGCTTGTATTATGTTTGAAACTGTTTGTTATAATAGCCGTTATACCGTAGGCGACAACAATGCTATAGATCGACCCCATAATGTTAAGTTGTTTTTTATACATCCCGGTGTGCGTTCAGGTGTCGGTGTCATATGTTTTTAGGCATTATTTAGAAAATCCTTTAATATTTTTTTTTTGCATTTTATTTTTTTCTTCAAAAAAAACTTTACATTTGAAATAATAAAATGGAGTAAAAAATACTATATATAAAAAACATTCGACAACTTCTGTTTTGGTTTTTATAATCATAAAAAATCTAACTGATCCAAAACACCCGTCACCTAATATTAAAGTTTACTAAAAAATATTAAATAATTGTTCACAGATGTTGACTATTTTTTGGATCAAATATAAAGAACCGGAATATGTTTTTTATAACAAAATATGTCTCACAACTACATTACAGTTGTAGTTATTTTTTGCAATCATTTTATTAATTAAATAAAATTTTATATATTGCTTATACTATATATTTATTTAAAGTAATATGTTTCCATTATATGATATATGGTCATTAAGCTTGTAATTAAATTATAAATAAATTAAACAACATTGAATTTAAAAAAAAACAATTAATAATGTTAATAAAAATCAACATAACTAAACATTTTTACTGTAGTAATTATGGCAAATATTATTAATTTAATATATATTGATATAATTTATAATATTATATGAAGAAACTGCACAAAACATAAGTACTACACAAGAAGTTTCAACAAATAGTTGTGATCATTGGTTTCATTTTTATAGTTATCTGCTATCTATAAAAAACCAAAAACAATGACCGACTTTATCATTATATCATTGAATGAATTATATCTTAAAACGGATGAACAAAACATTACAACTTTTATACCAATGATCTTGAGTTTATACCAAAGTTAACAATTAAAAAATTATATTATTAAAAACATGAAACCAATTATTATAATAATAATATTATTAATAATTAAAATTACATTATTATACTAAAAAGTATTATTAGGTATATTATCATATATAATACATGACCAGTTTTACTATATTATGATAATTAAAAAATGCAATTTATAAATTTGAAATATTAAATGTAATGTTAAACTTTTCTGTGTGTTTGTATTCTCCAATTTTTAAAACTTAATTTATATATAGTTTGTATTCTAATAACTATATATTCAATTACTATTTTAATAATATCTTAAATAAATATGTTTAACATTATTTTAGATTATTTTGAAAAATTCCTATTAATATAGAGAATATGTATAAACAATATATTGTACTAAACTTCATAATTTGTTAAACCTAGTAATTATATATTTTATACAAATAATGAAATAACAATAAAATATGTAATACTGTATATATTTTACAGTAAATTAATAATTACTAAATTATAATACAATAATATTAATATAAGCACAAAATCATTTACAAACAAACAAAAAATTAATACATTTTATTATACGATTGTTTCAATAGTATAAAAGCAATCGTATAATAAAATGTATTAATTTTTTGTTTGTTTGTAAATGATTTTGTGCTTATATTTAATTAATATCAACTAATTTGTTAGAAAACTCCTATAGCTGTCACTGTAATCACATATTGAATGCATTTATAATACGGGTATTTAATGAACGCATTTTTAACACATGTTTTTCATAACAAATTGCAAATGACTTCATATTTAATAATAGATTTTATGAATTAATTATTATTTCGTTATTTGTTATAACCATTAAATGGCCACTTCTTCGGGATTCAGTTCAGCCCTGAAAATAGCTGATCTCAACGATTTCATTACACCCTCACAGGTATTGATCTAATGATCACAAATGTCTTATTTGATTGTTTGCACTCTTTTGACTACTTTTATGGTTTGCCATCGATTTTAATTAAATATCTTAATATATAATTTGGACATTAATTATATATTTTATTAAAAATAATAAGAAATAAGTAAAAAAAAGTGTTTAAAAATGTCAAAAACTAACCAAAAAAGTGAAAAAGAAATGACGAGAGAGTCAGCCGAAGAGGCACTCAAACAGATGACAGAAGAATTAGAAAGATTATCAGCAAATGAATTGCCATCGAATCCATCAATGAGATCAACCAGAAGACAATGGAGTGGAGAGAATTGGGAGGAAGAGATGGAAAGACATCCTTTTTTTTCTAAAGGAGTTGATACTGGGTATCAGTCATCACCATTGGTTGATGCCTTAAGACAACTCAAATATGACGAAGAATTCAATTCTCCTGAAGAATTAGTTAACAATTATAGAGAGGACGGCAACGAAAATTTTCGCCGTAAAAAGTATTTGTGGGCCATTGACTCTTATAGTGAGTCCATTAGGATCAACTGCGACGATAATCATCTCATGTCTATTGTTTACAACAACAGAGCTTCAGCTCATTTTCATCTCAAGAACTATAGGTCTTCATTAAAGGACGCCTTAAAGGCTTATGAATTAGACTCGGATAACATAAAGGCTGTGAATCGCATTGTTTTTTGTTATTTTCAATTAAAAGAGTATCAAAATTGTTGTGATTTTTGTCAAAATAATTGCCATAAAAACAGCGAAATATTGTCCGAATACATGAAGAAAGCGATAAATGAATTGAAGATAACTGAGAGAAATGAAAGAAAATTTAAAATTGAAGAACAAAAACGAAAACTATTTGAAGACAAAATCTTAAGCGAAGTTAAGAAAAGAGGTATAAAAGTTAATAATAATTGTAATCTTTTTGAATCCATACATCCGGCCACTGATGGCAAACATGTGACTATTAATGAAAACGGATTACTTGTTTGGCCGGTTATCTTCATATATCCTGAATATGGAGAGTCAGACTTTATTGAATGTTTCCACGAAAATCACACATTTTTGGATCACTTGAATATCATGTTTGAAGAGTTTCCCGAATGGGATATAAAACATAAATATAAATCAAATAACATAATAGTTGGTTATAAAGATAGCAAATGTGATAAAATAATAACTTTTGACACTAAATGTACTTTAAGTGAAATACTTAAAGATGGAGATTATGTATTAGAGTCAGCCATTCCTACTTTTATAATAACTTGTGGTGAGATTAACATTTAATTTGATTTAATTAATTTCTATTTTTATATATGATTTGCAGGCGTGCATCAAACCAATTGAAAATAACAAAGAAATTAAAAGCAATGTGAAGACTAATGTAAATATATCTTTAAGTGATTGTTTAGCGTGTAGTGGATGTATAACATCGGCCGAAACGGTTCTCATTGAACAACAATCATATGAAGAACTCTATAGAATTATTAATTTTAATAAAGTAATGATACAAATAATAAATATTTTATGATTTATTAATTGGCTAAACATTTGGTACAGAATAACGAAAGCAAGAGACGGACGATTGTGATGTCGATGTCATTACAAAGTATAGCGTCGATTGCGGCCAAACATCACTTAGATATGGAAACCACTTCACGAAAGTTATCTGATTTTTTCCACAATCTCGGAGTTGACTACATATTAGACATAAGTCTTGCCCGACATTTCTCTATAATTGAGGCCCAAAATGAATTCTTAGACCAATTCAACAAAAATGAATTTCCCGTATTGTCATCGATATGTCCGGGTTTTGTCTGTTACGCCGAGAAAACACACGGAGATCTCATTATTCCGTTTCTTAGTCGAGTCAAATCCGCGCAACAGATTATGGGTATTCTTGTCAAACAATTTCTTAACGACAAACAAATCAATGCGAGTCATGTCTTTCATATAACACTTATGCCGTGTTATGACAAAAAACTTGAGGCCACTCGAAATGGTACAGATTTTAGTCATATAAACGCTGATAATTTTAAAGAAGTGGACTGCGTTTTGACGCCCATTGAGATTGAAATAATGCTCAACAGAGAGAATGTCATATTTACTGAACTAAATGAAAGACTTTTAGATAAAATAACTGGTGATCCAAATGATCAAATGGTTTCACATTTGGGTTCGGGATCAGGAGGTTATGCAGAAAATATATTCCGATTTATGGCTTCAAAATATTTCGAAAAATATTACAAATGTGAACAACAATTAGATTATAAAGTTAATCGAAATAAAGATTTCATTGACTTAACTCTTGAAGACGAATCGGGAAACAAATTGCTATCCTTTGCCATCATTAATGGTTTTCGTAATATTCAAACATTAGTTCAAAGAATTAAACGTAAAACTTGTGACTATCAGTACGTGGAAGTGATGGCCTGTCCGTCGGGTTGTCTTAACGGAGGCGCTCAGCTTAGACCTGAATCGGTAGATGATATGATTTTGGAAAGAGTGGATCAATTGTATCGATCACTACCTATCACATCACTAGCACTCGATGGACAACACCAGGAGATTATTACTTTGTATGACAAATATTTTCCAAATAAAAATATTTCGAAACTTTATACGACATTCAAAGCGGTTCCCAAAACAAAAAACTTGATTAATATCAAGTGGTAATACATTTACATTACTGTAGATACTATTTTAGTAAATATTAAAGTATTAAAGTTAATATATCATAAGTAAATTATTTTTATTGTTTATTATAATTATCTTTATAGCTTAATTATGTTTAATAATTATTACGGAAAACATAATATCAGTTAACAAAAAGTTGTATTATAAAAGTTAATAAAGTTTCTAATAGTTACTATTGATGAATAATTATTGTGAAAAATTTGATAAATAAATTATTTGAAATAATTTCCACAATATTATTTAAATTAACATACAATAATTAAATTGCATTTAATTATAACTTAATTAAAGCAATTGAATCGAAATGTAATAAAATTATTGATTATTATCAAAAATGGTATCAATTATTTCTTCGATGTCTCAATTAATTAGTTAATTTTTGTTGTCTATCACTTCAGAGACAAACATTAAGTGATAAAAAACATTTTGATAAAAATTAACCCTTTTTTACATTTTCAAACAAAATTATATGACCGCAACTATACTTAACTTTTAGCAAACATTATTTTACTTAATATTACAAAAAAATGGGTTCAACTATATCTAGAAAAAATTGTATCTCTTTGGTAACACTTTAGATATAATTGCAATTCTATTGTATTTCAGCAAAAAAAGTCGGTATTTGAAAAAACATTTAATAATAAATTAAAAACTTTTATTACTCATACAATTTGTGAATAAAATTTTAGCCGATTTTTGTCTTCGGCCTCAATTTCGGACAAATTATTGCAATATTTGTTTCGGACAGTAATTGTCTCTGTCTTTCATCGGCGCAATTGATAGCACTGTTGGTCATTACATACGAGAGTGACCATTCAATACTGTGATTATATTATTGAATTTTTTGTATAGTATTTTAAATGATTAGTCAAGTAATTAAACTCAAAAAATAGTGAAAAATAAGTTTTTAAACTTATTGAGTGATTGTGACAAATGAAACCTAAATCAATTTAATAATAATTTTCAAATTTTTATATTAAACTTATTTATACAGTTATTTGTACAGTGTTTAAGAGCTTCCGTATAATATGATACACCTATACATAGAGTGCGCTAAATGTTTTTAATATAAACATTTGGTTATTACTGTAATAATAATAACTTTTTAATTTTTAAAATGGATTTTCGTGTAAAATTTCCTCAAAGTTTTGTTATAAATTGAATTAAATTTATTTTGTGATAATTTTATTATATTTAATCAAATTTTATTTATAGATGAATGATAACTGAAATAATTAATTGAAACAAATAACTGGTAAAAGTAATGATAAAAATTTATTGAATAATCAACTAAATGATGGCATTGAAGGGCTATCGTGTGGTAGAGTTGGTAGGTCTGGCTCCGGCACCTTTCTGTGGACTAATACTCAGCGATTTTGGTGCTCAAGTCATTCGTGTGGATCGGGTATTGATTAAGACATTTGACAATAATTGTTTGATTGTATATTATTAATGATATACTGTATATGTAATGCCAGCCCCACTCCAAACAACCCGATTGTTTGAAAAGAGGCAAAAAGTCGTTTCACATCGACTTGAAGTCCAGTGATGGCAAACAAGTCTTTAGAAGATTGACACAAACGGCTGATGTAGTCATTGAGCCCTTTAGACCAGGAGTTATGGAAAATCTTGGTTTGGGTCCAAAAGATTTGATGACAAACAATGAAAAACTAATATATGCGCGATTAACCGGTTATGGACAGACAGGACCGATGGCCAAAAGGGCCGGACATGATATTAACTATTTAGCCCTATCGGGAATACTGTCAATATTAGGCACCGCCAAAACTCCTTCACCGCCTATCAATCTGTTGGGAGATTTTGCAGGTATTTTAATTATATAAAAAAATTATATTAACTTAAATGTTGGATATCATGACAGGTGGAGGACTATTATGCTCTTTAGGTATATGTATGGCTCTTTTGGAGAGAACTAAGTCTGGCAAAGGACAAGTGGTCGACTCGAGTATCACTGAAGGCACCGCTTATGTCTCGTCGTGGATCTGGCATTCAATGTCTGATAAATCAACCGTTAAGGACATGGTTTGGTTACAACCGGGACAACGGGAAAGAAACTTATTAGATGGAGGAACACCTTTTTACAGGTGTTATCTCACTAAAGACAACAAACATATGGCTGTCGGTGCTCTTGAACCACAGTTTTATGATAAGTTTACAGAAATACTTGAATTGGATACAAATCTGTACAATAGATACGATTTCACTAAATGGCATCAATTGACTGAAAAATTAAGTCAAATATTTGCCACAAAAACTCAAAAAGAGTGGATCCAAGTATTTGATGGGACAGACGCTTGTGTGAGTCCTGTACTTGAGATCGATTCAGTTCAACAATATGGTCATCATATTGACAGACAATCATTCTTCAGTGATGGTACTCCTAAACCATCACCTATATTGTCACGAACGCCAACACTTAGAGATAACAATAATAATAATAGTAATGAGGAGATGGTAGACAAAGAGTTGCTAATAGATATGGGTTATACTGAACAAGAGATTAATCTATTGGTCACTAATAAGACAATTGAAATTGGAATCGATTTTAATTCAAAGTTGTGACACAATTAATATTTTATTATATTATAAAAATATAATTTTAAACAATTTATAAAAATAAATCAACTATTTTTGTTACCATTGCTATACAAAACAAAAAAATTATTACCAGTAATATAAAACTTTTTAAAAATAATCTGATTTACAGTATTTATAAATATATTGTTAATTCATAAATAACCACAATTTATAATGTATTTTATATTGTATTGTTAGTATAGATAGTAATTAAAATAAATCTCAAAATAAAATAAAAACTAACAAATAGTCTTCAAAGAGCTTCATATTGTCCGCTAGTCTTCGGGTCATTGATTTGTTCCTCATTGAGAGCCAATGTCTTGCATTCGCCGATAAGATGTTTGATATCATGAAGATTAAGACATTCGGCAGATATTAGATGATTGTTGTCGTAAAACAGCTTAAACTCATTAACGGATGTGTTTGGAGTAATAATATTAGGATTCAATCCATTGAAATCACAATTGAGATCATTCTTAAAATATTTCATTATTTGACGAATGACTCCGCCGTGAGATACGATCAAAATATGTGATCCATTGGATTCATTGGAAACCATTTTAAGTAAATGATTGTTCAAGAAGTCGACAACTCGTCTGCTAACATCTTCCAGTGATTCACCGCCTTCTGGTGTGAATTCGGGCAATGGTTTCGGTGGAAAGCCGTGCTCTTTGGCCACAGCCTTCAAGTGATCCAAAGAGTTGCCTTCAATGGTACCAAAACAACGTTCCCGAAGTAGAGTATCGGTTTGAATGCGTTCATCATTCTTGACCACAATCTTTGCCGTATCCAAAGCCCGACTCAAATCACTGGAAAATATCAGTTGAAATCGATTGCAATCCAAGTGTTGAGACAATTGTATCGCCTGTTTGATCCCAATATCACTCAGTTTTGTATCTGTTTGGCCCTGAATTATCTTCATACGATTAGCCACTGTTTGACCACTAAATTAATATTCAAGATGTAGTTGTGATAATAATAATAATAATAATAATAATAATAATAATAATATCATTTAACTCACTGTCTGACGAGAGTCAGGAAGAAGTGGTTACCTAATGAACACATCATTTCTTTGATTACTAACTTTTGGTTCAAATGTTTCATCACTTCATTAATATGATTGTCTGCCAAAAGAAGGCACTATTGAGTCGTCACTACAACTGATCCATAAATCCAACGATAATATCCAAATGATTGAAGAAATAATCAAATTTTATGTCTTAATTTAAAACATTTTTAACTGATTTCTTGAATGATATCAAAGAAATATTATTTAAATTTAGTGTAAAAATATATGATTGAAATCTGATCTTAAAGTTTAATGAATTGTAATTTTAAAACAGTATTTTCATAACACTATAACTTAGTTATAAAGTAATGTATTTAATAAATGTTATAAATGTTTAGTGATTTGTAAAAACTTTGCGAAGAAAATATTAAGTAATATTTTTTATATATTTTTAAAACTTATATAATTTGTATAATAAAATAATATATTGTGTTAATAAAATAAGTAAAAGTATTCAGTATATTCATTAAATACAATAACATGTGTAACAAATATTTCAATATTATAATCGAGAAAATGATTTGAAATAAATAAAAAAAATGATAAAATTGAAAGAAATGAATTGAAATTAAATTGAAAAGTCATTGAATTACGAGAGAAAAGAACTTTTCATTCAATTATTGAATTAAAAGGAATTAACAGTGAATTCAATAGTTTTTTTGGCGTAAAGAAGACGAATAAATCTTTTCTCATATATTTATATATATTTTTATATCACTTGTCATTTGAATAGTCGGATGAGTTTAATGAATGGCATCGATGAGAGTGAAGAGTAATGCAAAGAGAGAGAGAGAGAGAGAGAGAGAGAGAGAGAGAGAGAGAGAGAGAGAGAGAGAGAGAGAGAGAGAGAGAGAGAGAGAGAGAGAGAGAGAGAGAGAGAGAGAGAGACCTGTATTGCAGTCAATCTTAAGAATATTCTGTATATTCTGTAATATCAGGTATAATACAACACAATATATTTAGTATTAAATATACTGTTGAATGTTGTTTGTGGTGTTTGTGTTAGTGATGACTAACGCATGCGTTTTCATACATAGTAGTGGCCACACATGCAGTACTGCCGATCGTAAATTGTATGGCATATTAGGGTTTTCCTCTTGTGTTCAAAAAGTTGACGATTCTCTATATGTGGCACTGGTATGACTGTTATGCCGTTCATTTAATTTGTAAAAATATGTTATATAAGATTGTCAAAGTTGATAATCAAATATAAATTATTACTTAATAATAATAATATAAATATAACCTTTTAATTTTTTAAGAATGTTATATAAAATTAAATAAATAAATAATGAAAATAATAAAACACTTGAATTTGAATGCAACAAAAACTGTGTTTAACATAATATCTGGTATTAAAATATGAATTAAAAAGTAATCGTTATTTAAATTTTGATACAAATTTGTGATTAAAATTTTGTTTGTTTAAATAATTACTCGAAAAATTTATTTATATTTTCATTATATAGAATGTGAAATAATATAATAAGAAAACTAATTTTATCAAATACTATATACAGTATATACATAATATCATATGTAATCTTCAACGTAGGAGTAATAATCAACTTATTTTCAGATAATTGAATGCAATATATACTATATATTATTGCAAATGTTGGTATTGCTTGGACTTGTGTTATTGAGTTTACCTAAAGGTATTTATTTGTTATTTATAAATGTTTATATATATATATATATAGTATATTTAAGTATATTATAAAAAATTATACGATTTAAAAAAGATCTCACAATTATTTTTGTTAAATTATATAATATTTATTATAAATATATTTCAACATTACATAACTATTATAATATAATTATTAATTTAGATATTTTTTGGAGATTAGACACACAATAATGTGATAATAATAAATATCGAAAGGCTTAAAGTAAATTGTTTGTATTCTTACAAATTAATTTAAAATAAAAATCAGAGTCAAATGCTATTATTTGTAATAATTGTTTTGTTGATTATATTTACATAATTGTAAAATTAGGATGTGCTAATATTTTATTAGATTATACTAATTTTGTATTGATTGTTTGAATTACTTATTTTATATTAAATACTAAATCTTCACCCAATATATGATAATTTGAAGATTAACAATAATAAATTTATATAAATGTATAATTAGTTTACATTAATACATTGATTATGCAACAATATTTTTATAAATTTGAATTATATTTAATTTAGATGTAAAAAGTATTAAGTGAGTAATCTATTTATATAATGTTAGTTTTACATTTAAAAAAAGATTTCAATAATAAAATATTAATTTTCATTTTTTCTGAATTTTTTTATTCATAAATATTATATTTAATAAAATATGTCAAATTTATACTTTATATACTTTATGTTTATTTAAGTCAAATATCATTGAGAATAATAAATTTTATTATGTTATAGTTTGAGAATTATATTTAAAATTGTATTACATATTATACTATCAGACAAACTACACACTAAAATAAAATAAGAATAGACTTATATTATAGAATTTGTCACAATTTTATAAAAATAACAAGAATTATATAAGAATTTACGATCATTTAGTTCAGTCAATAGTTTACAGTATTTTATTATTTATTTATATTAGATTACAATTATTTTATGATAAAATTATATCTTAAAATTTAATTGATCAATGATAATGTTGCTTTATAAAGTAGAAGTAGACTCAGGTAATTAAAAAAAAATTTAATTATAATAATATTTTTAATTAAAATTTATATTAAAATTTTTAAAACATTTATATTATATCCGTATAACCTGTAATTTGTCATAAAGCTAATTAATACAATATTTAAGGTTTATAAAAATTTTAATTTGATTTTTGTTAGATTTATAATTTTGGATATTTTGAGTTTGTATACTTAGAAATTATATAAATTTTTTAATCTATAAAACGACACTAAATTATTAAATTAAAAATTACTATTTTTACAGAATAAATATTTAAATAAATGTTTATTGTCATGAATTTAAAAAAACCCATTAAAATTCATCAAATTGTTTTTAAAATACTTAATTTTACCAAATATTTATTTTAATATAAATTTATATAATTAATTTTTATACTGATATATAAATTGTAGTACTTATAATAACCATTGAATTTCTAATTTTAAATAAAAAGTTAGGTTGAATCAATTGATATAAACTCAATATAATTAATTGAAATAAAAAATTAGTGAAACACTAAAATGTTGATTAAAATAATTTGTTTCAATGTTAGTTAATTAATTTTATTATATTATGACAATAAGGTTACATTAACATTATTTCTTGTTTTGTGTTTGTTATCAAATATAATTATTTTACTGTATAGTTAGTTCATTATCATATATACTATATATAAATTTATATTATAATGTAGTTTATATTACGGTAGATATCTATTCAGTTAATTTTTAGACAGTCTTAATATACACTTTGGTTGATGTATTCATGCACTTTACAGGACATTAAGCAATCACATCACTCTCTCTCTCTCTCTCTCTCTCTCTCTCTCTCTCTCTCTCTCTCTCTAAGAAACACATACATTTTTTAGTATATCAGTATATCAGTGTATCATTAAAATAAAATAATAAATATAAAACAACAAATTATATTAATAATGATTCATCAATAATTTTAATAATAGTATTTATATTACTGTATATTAATAACTAGTTTAAAAATTAATTTAATTGTTTAATTTAGTAATTATTTAAATACTAATGCTTATTTTATGTATTAAAGTTATTTAGAATTTTTTATAATAAATTTAAATTACTTTATTTATTAATAAATACAATATTATATACTTAACTTTTAAATATTTAAATAAATAATAAAATGAAACATATTTTTAAAATATCAATTAGAATCCATTTAAACGTTTGAACACCTGATGATATATAGTAGTAGTGTTATAGACTATAACTTATAATGTTATATACACTATATTGTATATTATATGTATAATACAATAACACTACTAATATTGTATATAAAACTGTAATAGACTATTGTATTTAAAAAAAAATATTTATCATATATTTTCATATTTAAATTTTACATTAATTCATTAAAATCTAATTTTCAACTGATATATAATAAGCTAAAATAATCTTAATATTAGACTAACTGAAGATATGATTTTAATGAAACATAAAATTTAAAATAATTACTATTAAAATTAGTGAATATTTTTATACATTAAGTTTCTCTAAATGAATTTTTGTCGAAATGTTTGTTTTATTATATAATAATGCTTCACATAATTTATTTAACATGTTTTATAAAAAAATCATGATAAATATACAATAATATAAATTGCCTAATTTAATGTTATTTAAAATTAAAATTATGTTTATAATGTACAAACTTTACATATTATTATTTAAATTCAGTAATGCATTAAATTAGATTTATTAATCATATTTTAATAAATATTTAATTAAATTTAATTATATGATTTAGATTTTTTTTATAAATAATATTTTTAAAATTTATATAAAAATAAACTATACAAAATGAAACCGACTGCTTATCTGTTTTAAATTTTAAGTTATTTTTTATTGTATTTTAATATCGTTATATACTTTACGATATTTATATATTATTTAATAATATAAGGATTACATATTATTCACATATAAAATGTCATTTGAGTGGCAAATAATATATATATGTATATATAAGTTATTTATATTAATACTTTTAGATATAATATTTATTTCACGTAATAAAAATTGAAAGTAACAAAAATTGTTTGTCCAATAATATAATATATAAAAATATATATTTAAGTGAAAAAGACTGACAAGTATTTCAGGTCAATCTCTATTAATATAAAATTGACAAATATTTGACAAATTAATGCTTTCGTATTGTAGAAAATGATTAAAATTTATGTTATTTAATTGATTGATAATTTAATATAAAATATGAATGTTTCCCTATACCTCCCATTATAAGTAAATTTAATTTACTTAAATAACTTTTAAGTTTTAAACCCGATTGATCTGCAATTTTGATTATATATGTAGATATAAATTATCATTATCATCAAATAACATTAATTTTAATCATTTTCTACAAAACGAAAGCAATATTTATTTTATTGTATACACACTTTTACTAATAAGAATAATCCATTTAACTTTTTGTAGTTTAATTTACGAATAAAATTCAAATTAAAACAATTTAAAAAAATAAAAATATAATACAGTATTTGCAATTTGCAGTATTTTTGTGTCTTTGTGTGTGTTGTTATAATGTTATCAAAAAGAGAAATTTCTAGAAAGTTTCTAAAAATTTTTTTTGTCTATGTGATCACCATGTTAATTTTGTTCTCTCGATATTTGTTGTATTATAACAATATATTATGATTAAAAGTAATAATTAAATATTATCATTAGTATTCTATTTATTAATTAAAGTAAAAAATAATTTTTAAAATTATATTAAGAATTAAATTAAATGATTAATAAGATTTTACAAAACTAAATATATAATTATAATTATTTTAAATATAGAAATCCCATTTATATACTATAGTATATATGTATTATCTCATTAATATAAAGTACAGTATATTACAATAGCTATATACAGGATATGGTAGATCCCAAAGTATAATAATAAAGTTAAATTTTTATAGATATTTATTAGAAATTACTACAGTAGACATACAATGCCTATCTCTAGTAATTATTGAAGAAAGTAATAGCTTTTATTTAATCAATTCAACAATTAAATTCATTAGGTTTTTGTTAGTATTTATATTTTTTAATTATATTTAAATAACTGTATGATTTATTTTTACAATAACATTTACTATAATTTACTTTTAAAAAATATAAATAGATATTTGGAAATTTTTGCAAAATAAATATAAACACATTTAAGCATTTATAAATTAAAAATTAGTAATTTAACAATATATAGTTATATGCAGTATATACTGATATAAACATAAATTTTAAAATAAATAAACATTTGTAAATTTTCAAACATTGTTTATATAATTATAGATTTTGTAATTTAAGATTATATGATATATTAATACTAAATGTAATATATTTGTGAAATACATTGTGTTTATAAAACACTATAATTATGCACTAAATAAAGTTATGTTATATCTGTATAACATCTGTAAATGTATGATATTTTTAGTGTTTTCTAGATATACTGTTTTTCACAAATACATTACATTTTTAATATATTAATAGTTTCTAATGAAGTTTAACAAGATTTCATAATTAGTGGTAGTTTTTTTGTAAATTAATTGTTTGTAAGTTATATTCATAAATACTTGTAATATATTATATTATAAAAAATATTATAGTTACTTTAATATTCATGTAATTAATAAATATTCAAAAAAAATTTGAAAAAGTTTTATTTACTGAAATCTATACGAGCTTTTTTGAGTCTGTCCGTCCGTCCGTCCGTCCGTCTGTAGCATTTTTTTCTGCGAATTTTGAAATTCGGTTAGATTACTACTAATAATGTATTGAAAAGTTTCATTAAAATTTTGATATCTCTTCGGGAACATAGAGAAAATGGCGGCCAAATTAAAAAAAATTTTAGGTAAATTTTAACGTTTAGAATTGTATAGAGCATCTTATTATTTCAAAAATGGCGGCTAAAGTA